AAGGGGTAATCAATCAGTTTTTTATCAGTTTCTTATCAGTGCTCCTTTTTTTCACACCAGAAGGCAACTCTGAGGTTTTTTTTCATTGCATAACAGCAGATAAAGGCTCTCCAGCAGTGTCTAAAGGTTTTTATAGCAATTGCAATGGTTATTATTCTTATTTTCAATATTTTTATGATTTTTTATGATGTTGTAAGGGAGCCTGTATCCTCAAGCATCTGTGAGCAGCTGCCTTGATATTTTCATTCCTTAAGCTGTAAATAATAGGGTTAACCAATGGAGTGAAAAAATAGTAATTTGCACCAATGACGATGTGCCCATCAGGAGGGATACTTTTCACTCTTAATCCAACATACACCAGAGTACCAGAAGCATAGCACAGAAAGACCACAGCCATGTGTGAAGAGCACATTGAGAAGGCCTTCTTATGGCTCTCCACAGTTTTCATCTTTATCACTGACCATACAATTCTGAAGTAAGACCACAGGACAAATGGAACAGGAATGTAAACTACAACCATGGCAATACTCAAAGCAAGGTTCAATTGTGCTGTGATATCACCACAAGCTAAAGACATTACAGTGGGGTCATGTGCAGGATGTGCAGGATGAGGTTTGAGCTACAAAACAGTAAAGTGCTTGCCAGTACTACAGATGTTAAGGGAATGAGGAAGCCAAGCACCCAAACTGTCATTGTAAAACAGACTTTACTGCTCATGATGGTGTTGTAATGTAGAGGTTTCACTATAGGAACATAGCGATCATAAGCCATGACTGCGACAAGGAATACTTCAACAGCTGCAAATGAGATAAAACAGTACATCTGTGCAAAACAGCTTGCGAAGGATATAGTCCTTTCATGACCAGAGAGCACTACTAACAATTTAGGTATAATAGTAACAGTCAATAGAACATCTATGACAGCCAAGTTCCAGAGGAAGAAGTACATGGGTGTGTGGAGCAAGTGATCCAGGCCCACTAACACCACAACGAGTAGATTACCCAAGAAAGTGGCCAGGAAGATGATGAGGAAGATGATGAATAGAGGAATGTAGTGCTCCTGTAGCACAGGCACTCCCACAATGATGAACTCAGAGTAAAGGGTGACATTCATTCCTCCCATTGGTCAAAGTCTCAGCAGCTCCGGCTAGGAACTGGATGCCAAAGATCAAGTATACATGCAGTGGTTTATTAATAGTTTGGAGAAAGAGACTTTAATACATTTTAAAGAATTAGAGGTTATATAGTGATAATAAAATTCAAATTTTAATATAATATATCCATATATTTCTAATTACTTGATCCAAAACAGAGTCATGGGTAATTATTAATACTGTATGTCATACAGTGTTCATAATAAATTACCACTACTACATTCTGAAAAACTGATCAGCCTCTTTTTTTAGGAAAGTGGAGTTTTTAAGAAATATTACCTTCTACAGCGGATATAAAAAGTCTACACCCCCTTATTGAAATTGCAGGTTTTTGTGATGTAAAGTCAGGAACAACTGATTTTTATTTGGGGTTAATCAGAATCACTTTCTTTGATGGCAGGTGTATGCTACTTACCTTTGGACATGATTTTGAATGTGATTGGTTAACTCTGAACACAGCTACAGCCCCCATTATAAAAGGGTGTGCACACTTACTGTATGCAACCAGGTTGTAGGTTTTTTAATTTCAAATATTTTTCCTAATTATTATCTATTTGTTTTTCTCTTGAATTTTGTTGGTGGCAAGGTCACGTTAAAAATGGAAAAATGTCTGACATGATTTATCTTGATTTCTGCCCTCACATCACAAAAACCTGCAATTTCAATAAGGGTGTATATAATTTTTATATCCACTGTATACTCATAATAACATTGTTTAGGGCATGTTCTTGAAGTACTCAGAGTGTATGTAGAAGTTTAAAAAAACTTATGTGTAAAGATATTAATATTGAAGCTTTATTATTTTTTTGCATTATGATTTTTAGATGATCAAAGTAAAAGGATTAACCTGTTAGTACTAGTGACATATTTAGCCAATGTCTGCCTGGAATTTCCTCCCCCTTAAACATTTGTTATATCTCTGCAACAGAACATAGCAGGAGCCTGGTTCAGGTCTTAGATTGAAGCTAACCCCCTTGGCTTTGAGTGTGAATAGTCATATTTCTTATATTTCTTAATGTGTCCACTCAGCAGAGAAACATATGAAAAAGGAAAAAAAAAACAGCTGGCGAACATATTTTTTTGGTCTTTAGAGGTCAGACTTTTCAACTATATGCATGTCAAGGGCCTGGGAATGATTTGAAAACCTTGTCCTACGTAACTACTAGCTTGGATAAAAATCTGGGACAAATTGATCAATTAGAAAAAAATCTACATCATGTTTTGTGAAGACTGGACCTGGAATGAAACTTCACGCCTATAATAAAGAATCATAAAAAAATTGAAAATAATAAGAATAAAAACCATTGCAATTGCTATAAAAACCTTAAGACACTGCTAGAGAGCCTTTATCTGCTGTTATGCGATGAAAAAAAAACCTCAGAGTTGCCTTCTGGTGTGAAAAAAAGGAACACTGATAAGAAACTGATAAAAAACTGATTGATTACCCCTTCTGATTGACAGCTACAAATGCAGCCTGAAGCTTCTAGAGGAAGGCTCACCCCCTAAGGGCTCTGAATGGCTGAAAATACAATGAATGACAGCGGTTTTGACCAATCAAATCACCTTATTTCTGGCGCTCGTTCTTCAAACATTTACTACGTAATCAATACCGTTTACTAGTCTCTAGCTCTTGAGATAAACTAGTCTGGGTTATTTTGGATATATATATATATATCATGCTCCAGAATAAGGTAAAAACACGGGATATATATATATATATGTTTGCTGGTTTTTGCTTTTGTGGTTTTGTTGGTAAAATGCATACTGACATGCTGTGCTGGCCAGGTGTTTTTATTGGGATTCTGCTAGTTCATTAATTTATTGGTTTATTCCATAATAGTGTCATGTCTGTGGAAACAAACTCTATGGTTTTGTTGTGGTGATATTTGAGAATACGTGCATGTGAGAAAATTTGTGGAGCGGTTTCAAACAAACGTTGTTTATCTCGTGTTTATCTTATAAATAAAAATTGTCATCTGGGGAGACAGAGTGGTCCTCGGTGACCGCGATCCGGACTAAGTTGATTTACTTTTGTGTAATATCAAATTTATTGTTTCACTGTTCAACTAATGTGTCTAAAACATTTGTATAATGCATTGCAAATATTTTCACCCCATTCAATTGGTGTCCAATTTAGAAAAATTACAAATTGTGTATATATATTTTTAAAGAACATATTTGCAATTAACTTGTGAATGCCTTAACAGAATAGTTTTGAATGAAAAAGATCAAATTTAAGCAAAATCAGCAATGGTGTTTAGCAACCTTATTATTCTACAAAAAATACATGAAATTAGGTTAAACAAGTACAAATTTGTTTAATGAGCAGTTTCCCACTTAAGGTCAGATGTTGTCCCCAAATATACAGATGCAGGCATTCAAAATGCGAGGGCGATACCGCATTATTTTGCGGTGCGCTTTACGCGGTCTACCGCAAGTTACCGTAAATTCTCTTATAATACTGCAATTAAAATAATAGTATCCGGAATTTCGGCAAGGTGGAGCTAATAAAGCTCAACCTCTCACGTTTGAGCTGTCGCCATCAA